ATTATAAATTGATTCCTAACTAGGAGGCACTGCCACCTTTACTGGGATTAATTTATAATCTTTGTTTTATTATGACTTCTTGAGTTTGGTATAAATGTTAATTACGAATGTGCATCTTCTACCTTATGATATTTATTATCACTCTAATATATTTTTTTTATATAGTTAATGCTTATTAAGTAATTATGTTGGGGTAGAGGGTGTCACAGTTTCTGTAGTGTTGAAATTTATATTACAATAACTAGTTCTCATCAATAATCTATAATTCTATAATTTCCATAATCTACACTATTAATAAATGGATAGGCTCACTTGATATTTATACTTTTATAGATAATTTTATCTTTATAATTATCAATTTATAAATTATAAATTTGTTATTCTTTTCTGTAAATTCCACTTTATAACCATCTATATTTTAATAATCATTCATTATTATATAATTTTATTATTTATTAATTTTATAAATGTAATTTATGGAGACATGGAGTACCTTTTGTATACTAGTATATATAAAAGCGATAACCTGATTTGGTCTACACATTTTTTAGATAATTTTATCCTTAAATTTTTAAATAACAAAAAATATATTAAAAATTAATTACCTTTACAAACCCAAAACTCAAACTCAAGACCTTGAGATTTGAAGATCAAGTACAACAATAACTAATTTAATAAATATTAATAATTTTTAAACACCTTTTATTAAATAAAATATACAAACACGGAGTATCATAATTTCACTAGGAATATAAAAAATAAATAAATAAATAAATAAATACATAACTGAAACTAATTTCTGCAATGTAAATTGTATTTTATGGACTAGTTTTAGTAAGATAAGTGAAAGGCTGAAGAAAAAAAAAGCTTTAAAGAGAAAAATGAGAGGAGAGGATGCACAAAGGCAAGGGAGCAGAGAAGATGGTGAAGGTGACTTAGGTTAGTATTGTGGGAATGTCAAATAAAACAAAAAACAATGAGGATGTGAAGAGAAAGTTAGGGACGCCAAAAAAAACTCCCTTCCTTAATAGGACACATGCACCAACACGTGTGATTGCCGTCCCCATGGGCTCCAATTCAACTGATTGAATCAACTAGTTTGAATTTTAAAACTATGGTCACATGTACCTCTATAAAAGCTCTTATAGCCTTTAAGCATATCCTAACCTCAGCGAGTCCTCTTAATTCCACTCCCCTAAAATTTCTGTAACATGACTTGATTAAAAAACTTTACCTTTTATTAATGAAGAAACGGGACCAGAAAAACAGCTCTGTTATTAATTGAGTAACCCGAAAACAAGAAACGGGATTGCAAGTTAGCCTGTGGAGACCCATTTTGCAACTCCAAAACTAGAAGTTCCAATTAGACTCGTGTATTTTTGCTAGTAAAGGTTTTTCCTAAATGCAATTGTATTCTAAATTTCTAATTGCTTGATTGGATTGTTGCTGACATGGACAGACACAACGAGATGAGGTAGGGAGAAATGGAGAAACAAAAGATCATCTATTATGTCATTGAATTAAAGATTTGCTATAAGTTCGTTCAAGACTATTCAATAATTGCTATCAAACTGTACTGCTGAATACTTGGGGGAATATATGGTCCGTTAACTGAGCTTACACTAGGCAATTAATAGATCAATAATTGTCATGTAACAAGATTATGCAGCATCATAAACGTTTAAATTTGAAAAATGCATAATGTGAGGCCTAGTTCCAAAATGATACACAATCCAAGTTCTGCCATTAATTGACGTATCACATTAGGAACTACTTAGCAGCATATATGCAATTCAGGTAGAACTTCAAATATGTGTGACTAATCTGGTCTTGACAAAGAAAAATGATAATGTGACGGGTTATTAAAAATAAACATTTCACAAACAAAACAAGAACCACTCTGCAACCCAATGAAGAAAAAGTAAATGGTTATCGCATTCACAATTCCCCAAATGTTGCTTAATCACATTCTTCCCTTTCATATTAGACACAAGTTCACAAGTCTAAGAGCTTTTGTTGAATGACATCCCATAGACTATGGTAACATTCCTAATGAAAACCAAGTCAGAAAGACAAACTCTAAATATCCAAACACTAGTCATAAGTTTTATTGGATGAAAGACAAACTATTCAAGATTAGATGTAGCACAGCACTATGTAAGCTTTCGGAACATCTTCCACAATTAGGCATGTAAATAAAGAAAACAATGAGAAGTTCCAAGGAACAGAACGATCAATGTTTCTGATTCTGAAAGTCAGAAACCTGAGAGAAATGGAGTAGCATCATACACATGAGAAGACGACTAAAACAATGAACTTCTTACAATTACAAAGTCCCACGCTCAAGTAACTCAAATCAGAAGCTTCAAATTAAGGAAGACAAAGTTAAAGGAAGAAATGCATGCTTGTTGACGGAAAATCTTGAAAGTGTATGTCCAAATCATTGTCAATTTGCCGTGTTAAAATAGTATCTTTCACCATACTTCCATAAAACAATTTCCCCTTAACTATCACATCCCATTAAAAAAACATTTCGAGTTAAGGAATTAAACAACGAACTATTCCCTCCAACCAAAGACCCTAGAAATTGCAGTCACATTAGATACCCGATCACCATTTTAACCAGATTTAGATTTATTCAAGTAATTGTTTTAAAATTAATCATGACTTCACCAAGAAAAAATAAAAACTGAAAGGGAACCAACATTCTCTTCAAAACTTGCTTACACTTCTACAGCAAGGTCATCAATCACATCAAAAAATAAAATATGAACGACCAATTTAGAAAAACTTCTAAACCGTGCATTAATACTAATTTCTAAATCTTAGAACAGAACACTTCTACACAAAAAAATTGGCTCTAAGATGTTATATCCATGAAAAGAATTTCTTAATCTGCAACTGAAATTACCGAAATAATGCCTATCAGTTTGCCACAAAAGTAAACCTATTAAGGATAAAGATTCAGGCACATTAAGGAGAAAGATTCAGGAACATTAAGGAGAAAGATTCATTGCCTGTCGCAATTCCGGGCATTTTATAAAATCCCATTTCTTTCTGAATACAATTTGACAATCCTCTGAGCACTTCTTGAAGGAAAGTATCCTGTGGCAATCTTTCGGAACAGACTTCCAACCATCTCTTTCAAGAGCAATCTTTTCCAAAGATTTACCATTCTTCAAAAAATATTCCACCAGCTTGAATTCATGCTCCCCACCTTTAAAATCATTCATTTCTATTACCTTAAGATGTTCAACGAAAGACAGTGGAAGAGCCCGCGGAAAAACAGAATCAAAATCGGCATCTTCGCCAAAGTAGTTGTCACTTACCTGTGCATAAAAAGTATATAAGGGGCTGTAAAATGCATAGCAATTAACCTCTAGAAATATCCAACACAACTTACCTCACTTAAGCTAAGCAGTTCAACGTTTGGAGAACTTTCAAACAATTTGAATAACACCTGTAGGATCCAGTTTCGAGGAAAATAATGGCAATAGACAGGCGTAAGCTTTAGCTTGACCAGGTTCCTGAAAGTTGGCATTACTGGTGGAGAAAAATACAGAGCCTTCACAAATATAAGAACAAGAATTAGATAACAACAAAGTTTTAGATCTTCTACTAAGAGCCTGTTTTGATACAAAAGTTAAAAAGCGCTGAAAAATAATCTTTATTTCCGACATAAAATCTTTCAAAAACACTTCTACCTTATATATATATTCAAACAGACTCTAAACATTGAAGGAAAACACTTGGATTTCAAATTCAAGGTTTTAAAAACTAGCCCACAATTTGGACTTCTCAAAATCATCACCCCCACCAAATATTGCAATCCATTTCTCCACATGCAACATCAAGGATCACCACAATTCAAAACCTTGGTCAAGCCAAACTAAACAAGACACACAACAACACAACAAAACAACCCACCTTCATAATATTCTCAGACAAACTAAGAGACTTCACATGCTGCAAGCCACTGAAAAATGTGAAAGCATGACCCGCGCGCAAAATCAAATCATCCACATCCGCCACCTGAAACAGAAACCCAGCTTTTATAACCGCCTCATCGATAGACACCAAGCTCTGAATTATGTCAACTTCAAGCACGTGACCAACAAGGCTCAAAGACTTCAGATTCGGCGCATCCACAGTAACCTTGTGCCGCCCCTGCAGAGAGCAGAACAAGCTCTCGAGACTCTCCGACCTCACGAAAACATTGAAATCCGATTCAACCTCCTCTTCCCAAAACAGCATCACACACTTCAGCGAGGGACTCGAGACGCGAAGAGTCTCAACTCCACCACCTTCCTCGCTCTCACCCTCATCCAACTCCCGCAGAATCAGCACCAAATTCTCAAGGGAAGGACAACCTCGGAGAAACCTCGGAACAGAATCCTCGTCCCCCAACCTGAACGAGACCAAGTGAAGATACTTCAAATTCGGCAACGAAACGAGTTCCGGAACGCTCCATCTCACGCGGAGGCTTAGATGCAACCCGACAAGAGTGTCCGAGGAGAACATCCCACGTGGCACCGAAACGCGGAACGGCTCGGTCGTTTTGTCGAGTTCGACGAAAACGCTAATGTTTTCGACCCTGTAAGTGGCCAGCGCGGCGGCGGCGGAACACAGCAAGGACTGAAAACCCGGTCGGAAGCTTTCGACGGAGTGGGTGACGCTTAGTCGAATCTTGTTGATAGGCGCATTGTTTCGGTGTCGGAGGACTCTGTTGGCGAAGGGCGTGAAAATGCTGAAGAGCCTCTCGCGGTGTGAAACGTCGTCGTTTGGGGAGAACTGTAGAGTGATTTGGGGCAGCGAGAGGAAAAGGTGTCTCCATCGGGTGGATAAAATCGAAGTGACCGCGGCTTCTTTTGTGTCCAAGCGCGAGAGGATGAGGAGAAGGACGCAATCCGAAAGTGCACTGAGTCTGTCACTGGCGTCGTTCTGATCGCTCTCTGGGGCTGCTTTGAGGAGCTTTCTTCTCTGTGGCCGTTCGGCCATTGGAATGGGTTTTGTTTGGGACGTGGAAATGACAAGTGCTTAAGAGTGCATTGCGAAACAGAGAATGGGTGTAACGCGATTAGAGAATGGGATGGAATTTCTTTGGCTTTCGTTTTGATCTCCCACTACTCTAATGAAACATTTTTGCTTTGCAAAACCTAACTGCTGTGAAATGAAGTGTCTTTCTGGTTTCTCGGGATTAATGGGATTATGGAGGGTTTAGTGGCTCCAAAACAAACACTAATCAACAAATGGTCATACTTGTGCAACCATTTGTATATATATATACACATATAAATAAAAATAAAAAAGTATATATTTTGTCTCATTATTTATTATATAATTAATGATAATATTAGGGGTAGGCATGCATTAGCTTGAATTGGATTTGCTCGATTTTTTATATTCAATTTGATTAAATTTATTTGGATTGATTTAATTCGTATCATTGGATTCTTCATTAAAAAAAAAAAGGCTAAAATTCTATTTTGGTCCTTTATATTAATTGTTTGTTTCAATTTAGTCTCACTTTTATTTTTTGTTTCAATTTGGTCTCAAACTAATTAATTGGGTTCAATTTAGTCCCAAATTAATTAATTGATTTCAATGTGAGACTTCCGTCCAAATTATTTAAACGGAGTTAATTTTTGGCCACGTGGATGCCACGTAGATGCATACGTGGATGTCATGTGGGTGCCACGTGGATGACAATTTTTTTGAAAACACCAAGACCCAGAACGGCCCATTCTGGTTGCACTTTTGGTGTGTTAATTTTGCAACTGAAACGGGCCATTCGAAAACTGACATATAATTAAAATATAATTAATAATATATATTTTTTAAAATTATTAATATTTTATATATAAAAAAAGATGAAATCGGAACGGCCCGTTCTATCTGCACTTTTGGTTTGTTAATTTTGCAGTTGGAACGGGCCGTTCCGGTTGTAAAATTAACACACAAAAAGTGCAACCGGCCCGTTCCGGTTTCAGAACGGACCATTCTGGGTCCAGGTGTTTTCAAAAAAATTGTCATCCACGTAGCATTCACGTATGCATCTACGTGGCCAAAAGTTAACTCCGTTTAAATAATTTGGACGGAAGTCTCAAATTGAAACCAATTAATATATTTGGGATCAAATTGAAACCAATTAATTTATTTGGGACTAAATTGAAACCAAAAATAAAAGTGAGACTAAATTGAAACAAATAATTATTATAAGGGATCAAAATAGGGTTTAATCAGAAAAAAAAAAAAAAAAAA